GGTTTATAAAGCTGGAAATCTAACCAAAGCATTCATTGTCTATTCACTGTAACACATCAGTCATGTTTGTTTGATTATGTTGAACATAAGCAGTGACAAATAAAAGATTGATTTGAACTGATAAATATTGAATATAAACTATAAAGTTGATCCCATGTCTGTTCAGTAGTTGGTATTTCTTAAGTTCTCAGTTCAAACAATTTTAATGAGGGACTAATGATTAATTGCTATAGACAAGCTTGAGTTAAATTGTCAAAACTAGAATGAATTACATTATATTTCAGCCTGCGTGGCAAATAACACAGTGTTCAAGTTCTACTTCAGATCATATCTTGACATGCCCAGTATCTAACCTTTCTGTTTATCTGTTTACAAGTGTATATTTATTAGTATTTATCTGTTTATCTTACTGTCTTTATGGATATAGTTTCCACTTTTGATTATTTTAAAAAAATTTTTTAATATATCAATCTATATTTATTTATTGATATACTTACACAACTGTCTGTTGCCCATCAATCTAATCACTGTATATCTGCCAGCTTTTCTGTGATCAAAATGGTTGAAAAAACCTGCACAAACATTTCCTTCAAGTAGGTTACTCTACATGTTTGCAAGATATAAAATTTATAATTATTTATTTTTCTTTGACATGTTGGTGAGCTCATGAAGTATTTTTTCAATAACTTTTAAAAGATTTTCAAATGGATTTCAATGAAGGCAACTGAAGCTTACAAGTGAATATTAATGTCAGCTTCTGTCAGTATTTATGTATTCATATATGAGAGAGAACAATTGTCCATTGAATTTGAAATTAGTATTCTTTTATTCAGTGATACTATTTAAAGAAAAAAGTCTTTGATAAAACTTGTCACTTTTGATTAGGAAATTTCTTGAATATTAAGCAACACAACTGAAAATTTTGGAGAATATGTTTTGAATTTATTTAGGATACTGTGAAAGTTTATCAAAATTCAAAAGTGTTGTCTGCTTTTAACCCAGAATATTGAAAAAAATATTAAATCATACCAATGTGACTAAACGCAGTTTAATAACAAAATTAAGACATTTTTTCTGCCAATTCAGTTTTTGTAGGCCTGATGTTCAAAATAGTTTTTTACTTCAGAGCAACTGATAATAATCCAAGTAGCTTGTTTTTAATTTTCAACTAGAATTATCCCAGAAAGACTGCGGTTTCCAATACAATTTTGTGTCACTTACAATAAAAGCTCATTTTTGCTATTTTTCCAAACTCAGTTGTTTTTTTTCTTTAGCATAAATATAATTTTTCTGAATGTCAAAGGGGTTATATATATATATATATATATATATATATATATATATATACACACACACACAGTTTTAACAAAAGCATACATAAAATATACATTGAAAGATTTTAAACCAGCTAAATGGATTTTGTTTTGGTGAAAAAGATGCTTTGTTTAACTTCTAAAAACCTAATTTTTATTAAAATAACATTTGATTTTGACCTCCATTTTCCATTTTTTCTTGATATGTTGCAAATGAAATTGGAAAAATCACTTGATAAATGATTTTCTGTAAGCAAGAGTAATGTTGAATAATCATTTAAATCTAGCAATAACTCTGTATACATTCACTATGAGTTTGAAAATGTTGCAAATATATACTTTGAAGATATGCCATATTTTAGAGTGAATTTAATGATTATTGACCTTTACATTCAAGTTAATGAATTCTTTGGATTACTAATGCAAAGCTAGCCATCTTGTAAAAAGCACTTTTGGCATTAACCACAAATCTTTTCTTCTATGTTGATATTTATGAGAGTTAATTAAAAAGTAATGCCTGTTCTTAGTTAATTAAAGAAGATGTTAATCAGAATTTCTAACTTTTTATGTACTGAGGAGAAAAATTGAATTTAAAACTTTTAAATTTATAAGTTTAAAATTTTTTATAGCCAATAGTACATAATTAGAACCATTTCAGTTTACATCTCTCCCTCATACTTATATAATTCCATCAATAAAATCCTGCTAGAGTACAGAATGTTTTACACGATTTTTCCACTTTGTTGTTCAATTGCCTAACATTCCTGATAGAAATTTAGATATCATATTCTTCCAAGAGTGTGTGTGTGTTTCTGTGTGTCTAGAAACCAGAGGGGAAATTTGTGATGCCAACATTTCATTTTCCTATCATAATCTTTCAAGATAGCACTTTCTCTTGACAAACAGGGAAAGCAAAGAGCTGTCTTAGAATTTCAGCTTTTAGGAACAGGAAGTACTGCAAACATTCACAGGAGGTTAATGAATGTTTATGCAAAGGCTGCATGTAATGTAAGAAGAGTAAGATGGATCAATAGTGCAAATAACCATAGAGAGAAACTGAACTTAATGACAGCCAAATAGGCTGATACTTCTCAGCACAGCAGACAGAAGAATCACTATTGTAATATGCTGTGAAAACCTTCAGATGAGCCAAGGTAGTGCTTTCAGTTTAGTACAGCCACTAAGCTACTCAAACTATTGTGCAATGTAGGTTCCAGAAAAGTGAACATCTCCATGAAGAAGTAGAAAGTGGGTGCAGCCTAAGAGTTTCTGGAGCTGTACAACATTGATAACTCCTTCCTAAATAGGATAGTCACAAGACATAAGATTTTGGTTTACACCTATGATTTAGAGATAAAAAGAAAATCAGTGTAGAGTTACCACCCAGACCTATCTAGAGAAAAGTCTAAGCAGCAAATTCTGTAATTGGAAAAGTGTCTGTTTTAGGATCTAAAGAGAATGTTATTATTTATTCTTAATGGCACTGCTGTAAATTCTGACTCCTATGCAAGCACATTGTCAAAACTCAGGATGACAGGCTTATTCAAGCTCTGTCACATTTGAAGATAATTGAGTTGTTTTCAACATGACATTGCAAGGCTTCATTGCTGTTTAAAGAGTAGATAAACAATAGTTGGGCAACCTTGCCTCATCTGCCCTACAGTTCTGATCTGGCTCACTTAGTATTTTCTTGTTTGGATCTATGAAGAAAACACTTAGAATCCAGCAGCCTTTACACTTCTTCAAGGCATGTACAGAATCTCATTCTTATGTGGAATATCAAGATTCAGAAGAAAGAAAACATTGATGAGATGATGACTAGATTTGGAATCTGTTAACCCTGGTATACTTTGTATGCTTTTACTATTAAATCTAGCAATATTGTATAATTTAATAGATTATATTAAATTAAGTTTAATAAGATTTATGCATACATTTTAGAGGAAATTAGTCATTAGATATTGTGTTGGTCATCATGAGGAAATTTTTTATAGTAGAAAAATGTTTTCCATTTCGTTTGTCTTTTTTTTTCTCTTGTCTATTGACACAAGAATTCATTTTTCTGTTGTGACGAAAATCATTCAGTATGCATTGAGCTTACATTTTTAATTGCACAGGAATTTGTAAATAAAATCTTCAGTGTATGTAGTCATAAGTCTGGGACCAGCAGAGAGAAAAATAACCAAAAAATAAAGGCTTGAAACTTCTCACCGATTCTAGCAATGAAGAGACTGTAAAATTTATCACTAAGCTAGACTAATAAAATATATTTATGTATATATAATAATGAGCATTTAAGAGAATGAGTATATATGTTTTAGCATATTAATGTGTGCTTTTATATAATGTATAAACTGTTATGACAGGTACCCACAATGAATATGTAATAAGACAATTGTTTAGTAAGTTCTAGTGCTAATATAAAATTTGCTGTAAAGGTGCCATGTACTTTGGTATTTTATCTTGTTTTGTTTGATGTGTGTGTTTCTATTTTTCTTTAAAGAAAGACAGAAAAAACATTGAAATTCTGATGCTTATTTTTTTTCCAATGTTTGAAGAAAGCACAAATTGTTTAAATCTGTTTCAGATATAAATACACATTACTCTCAGACTGATGAAGCTGTAGGTTTTACTCTTTTCACATATGCTTTCTCACTGAATGGAAATGTGTATGAGGTGGTGTGGATCTGTGCATTTGTTAACTTAGTTCCACCACCTGATTACAGTAATGTAAAAAAAAAAGTTTTATATATATATATATATATATAAACAGTAACATTAGGCTGAAAGCTGCTAATTTTAGCTCTTGGATTATCATGATAATGGCCTAATAAGCATGTCTAGTTATGAAGATATGGGTTTTGTTCTTGTGTTGAGTAATCTATCCCTGTAGATTTAATAAAGTATTATGTTTCAAATTTTGACAACATTAACAACTAAGATAGACTCCAGAAGATTGTTAGATAGTACAACAGGTACAAGTGAAATAATGACTCTTGTTTAAGTAAATCAGTGAATGTTTTATTACTTTTCAAGTTTATATTATGTTATAAAGAAATAGTTGGTGGTTTTTAATTGTCAAAAAAACAGAACACTTGTGAATGTTAAAATAAATTATGTAAAAAAAAATTATTACTTTTACTACTATTAATGTATATAATGGCCAAAATCAGGAATTTAGGGAATAATGATTGTAGCCAGTGATCTCTGTAGCCTATTTGGCAAGAAAGCTGTCATGTTAAGATGGGCTTCTCAGGGAAAAAGGATGTAAGTAGAAGTCTTTTTGGAGGTTTGTTTTTTAATTCTCATCCAATTTGATGACTGTAGAATGATAAGCAGAGTTGTGATAAAAGCAAGTGAAATTAAAATGGAAATTGTTAATTCAAAATATCAACAATTAACAATAATTCATCTTAGAAATAAAAAGAAAATAAGTCGCATACATTTTAGAAACCAGTGCAAGGATCATTTTAAGAAAATATAATAAGAAAAAATACTTTGCATTTATAACCCAAATAATTATTTATACTTTAGAGTTTATTTAGTATTGAAGACATTTTAATAATGGAACAATATTCAGTAAAGTTGGTTTTCATTTTATTCTTCTGCTTTAGTCAACTGTTTCATGAAAATTATTGTTTGGCCAATTTTAATTAACATTATTTTATCCATTATTTTGTGTTTCAGGTTGCCTTGGATAAGACTGCTGAAGAGTTTCGCCGTAGCCATGCTGAAAGACATGAACTGATTAGTAGGTGGGAACACACACTAAAAATGATGTACAAGAGAGATAAGGATATGGATTCATTGAATAATGTAAGTAAAATATTGCATTATGTTTCAAAACATAACTGACAGATTTTTATATTTCTCTCCAAGAAGTGTAATTATTTTTGTCAATTATAAGTGTGGATATTTAGTTTGATGCCCTGTCATTGTCAAAAAAAAGTACAAAATTAGTCTCGTGTAAGATATTAGAAATTAGTAAGATATTCTTTTTCTTCAACTTCCTATCCTTTGTAGCTCTTAGCATTGCTTGTCTTTTTACTATCCCCACTCCACTCCATGTCATGTCATCCATTTTTACCCAGTTCTTGATAATGACTGAAATGTTAAAAAAAACTTCAACAAGACATATACTGAAGAGTTTATCCATAATTTTGATCTCTATGTACAGCATCTTGTTTAAAAATTGTAAGAATACAATAGAAAATGAAACAGACCTTGATGATTGAATTTATTAAAACTTGTTTATTGTTTTTTGGAATAAAAGTTTCTTACATTAATCAATTGGTGGCATCTGAATACATGATTTCATTCCACCAGTGACTGAAATTTATGACATTTATTCTGAAAGGTAACATTTCAAGGCATCTTTCTGTATGGGTTTTGTGTGAATTTTATTTTTTTACATTAAAAATGAAAATTGTGGAAAAGATGTATTTTCATCATTTGATGCTCTTTTATTTTCATACAGAAAAAATGCTGTATAAACAATAAAAACAATATATACCATTGAAGATGGTGCTATAGCTGAGAGTGCTGTTTATAAGTGGTTTGTGAAGTTGAAATGACAAAATTTTGATCTGGAAGACCAATAACATTGCAACATGCTTGTAGTCATTGTTAATGACCAAATTGAAGCACTGATTAAAAATAATCTGTTACATGACATGAGACATTGCAGAGATATCTTGGATCTCTCATACAAGCCCCATAAGGTATTTGAAAAAAACTTGGATATGTGAATTGCAATGATATTTGGGTGCCTTTATGTTTTAACAGAAAAGAATTTAATAGATTTCATTTCTATCTGTGATTCTCGAGTTAAATGCAAAAAAAATCAACCAATTTTTAAAAAGAAGAATCATGGGAGATGAGAAGTGCATTGTTTACAACAATTTAGGATGAAATGAACCACTTTTCAATTTTTAAATATAGCAATTGATGAAAAGCATCCAGAAATGACCAATCAGAAAGATGTCAAGATTCATGTTTCCTTGCAGATAACTGAAGTTGGTAGAGCTGGAATGTTTTACTACACTTGTCATACTCACTTGACTTTACACCTTTAGATTACCACTTACTTTGATCTCTACTAAATCTTAAAGAAGTTTAAGTCTCTGAAGCCTGTGAAAACCATATAGATTACTTCATCACTCAGAATGTTGCTAAAGTTTGGGAGGATGAACTCAAGAAGCTACCTCAAAGACTGCAGAAGGCAATGGATCAATGAAATATTTGAAAATATAAATAATCCTAGAAATTTGTTTAAAAATACTACATTCACTTAAAAATGCTTTTGTTCTCTCTCTCTCTCACACACACACAGGGCTTTGAAACTAGTTCACAAGTATTCTATGGAGAGTTTCCTCTTGTGTGTGTATGTAAACAGATAAATATAATCCTCCCTCTATCTCTCTCTCTCTCTCTCTCTATATATATATATATATATATATATATATATATATATATATATATGCATCATTATGTAAGTATACATTTTTAGTTTTAGCCAATACATATAGTAAATACACAAACCATTTTGGAATAATTTTACCAAACACTCTTAGGACATGATCAAAAACTTACCATTTAATAAATAAATAAATATTTAAACAAATTGATATATAAAATGTCAAACATTTGTTCATTATTACTGCATACAGAGAAAAATGATACAAATGTATATAATAGTGTATTTTTTAAATAATTACTGGACTTTTTAATCCAACATTAATTCTTATCAGTGTCAACATTATATTTAGTAGGTACACAAACTATGTAAAGACTTTCATTACTGTCATATAAGTGAAAGCTAAAAAGAAAAAAATATCCTACCATTTCAAACTTCTCCAATTTTATTTTAGTATTTTTCTGCTTCATAGAATGTAACAAATTTTTATTGCATTTTCATTACATACATTCATAGACCAGGAAATCTGTAAATAACCACATTTGCAAATATAATCAAATTCCCAGATTTTAAATATAACTTTGCTGTAAGTTCTTGAAAAGTAATCGTGAATATAGAATATTAAGTAGAAAAGACTGGGTGTCTGATCAAGCTGATTACTAAGATTTGAATGAAGTCCAGGATCACAAGTCTAGATGGGGTAACAGTTAGCTCAAATGGGGAAGTAGTACCCTCTAGCAAGTTGCTTAAAAATAAGATGTTGAACTCTTAAATCTTTTTAAAGCAGGAGATAATGTCTTTTATGCACTAACATCAGTCATTTCTCATGAGGCCAAGATTTATATTACTGACATTATTTAATATTAACCAAATAAAATAAAGGGATGTGGTTTTCAAAGGGGATAATGATTGTAGGGAATAACTATAGTATAGACAATATAAAACTAATAATAAAATTATAATTGATAAATAAAATGTATATTCATAAACACTGATGGAAAATGAAACAAGCAAACAAGATGAACAGTGTTCTGGCTGTATATGAAAGTGTTTAATGTAGCCTCCACAAACATCAGTGAGAGTTGTAAGTTAGAGCAGTTCATACTATATGTCTTGGGCCTGTGTGTTGAATCACCTCTCCAGGTTTTATGTCACACAGGCAAATAGTCATCACTTGAATGAAGGCAGAACCTGCTCTCATCATGGGGGCAATACAGTGTCTCATTCAATCCTCTTGTAATACCACTTCAGATATGCATAATGGTGTTGAGGTATATGTATACACTCTGAATAGAAGCATGCATGCACATAGTTCTGCTGCTCATAAATGGTCACCAATAATCCATGTTGACATTTCTGAGGCCACATTTGCACTGATCCTTGCGGTAGATGTCATCCATCCAGAACTTAATCTACAGTGGCCTATGATAAGTTTTTAGCCACCCTTGATTACAGTAATTTTGCCTTGTGTAATAACATATCTACTTTTTTTCAGATAATACCATGTTAGTATCAAGCTGCTCTCATCTATAAACGATAGTTGACTTATATTTTTCAATGTAAGTTCGTAGAAGTAAGGAAATTGGTTAATTTCAATGAGGGCAAATAATAGGATGGCATCAGTGTGGCAAGTCAAATAGAGAAATTGCTAGGTTTTTCCAGGTTAATCATCAAATAGTTAATAATATTGTCAAGAAATTTAATGAAGAAGGACATTGTCACATGGAACAACATTCAAGAAGACCATGCATCATGTCTGAGCAAATGAAAAGGGTGCTGAAGAGGGAAGAAACCATTGTCAGAGTATCAAAGATGTCACCAACAGAATGGAAATGTTGTCGTATGTGGTGAGCAAAACTCTGAAAGAGCTAGGTTATCAAAGAAGAATGAAAGAAAGAAGCCCTTGATTTCAGAGGTTAACAGAAACAGGCATATGGACAGGGTGAGAAAATTCAAGAGTAAAGTCTTTTGAATTTTGGCCATCTGTAATTTGGTCAGATGAAAGTAAATTCTGCTATTATTCGAATTCAAGACAGGCTTATGTTTGGAGAAATCAGAATGAGACTTGGAACACAGAATGTCTACTGGTTTGGAGGGAAATCTGAGCTGATTCTTGTTGACAAGCAGTTGAATGGTCCAAAATACTGTCAAATATTAGAGAAAGGACTACTCCCACTATTTGAAACCAATCAGATTGATAAGAATGTCTGCCTTTTTCAAAATGGAGTGCCATGTCATACAAGCAAAGTAGCAAAGGCCTGGAAGGAATCGCAAGGAATCAAGTCACTGCCATGGGTAGCCTAAAATCCTGACATGAATCCAACAGAGCATGTCTGGGAGCACCTTGACTGAAAATTTTGAGAGCATGCAGCCAAAATCATATCAGTGGCAACCCTTAAGGAAACATTGCTAAAGGAGTGGTAAAATATGGATAAGATGATTGTTGATAACTTGATCAAATTGAAAACAAGCACTGAAACTAGCAAATGGAGTACCTACTCTATACTAGTTCGGAATACTGTTTATTTATGTTGAGTTGGGTTTATGTAATTTTGAAATTGGATTTAGTTTATTTCTCCTGGCTAAAAACTTTTCTTAGGCTACTGTACAGTTGTAAGAATGTTTATTTGAACACTGTTACAAATATTGAAACATCACCAATGTTTCACAAAAACCAACAATTCAGTTTTTGAAGGGCTACAAACACCCTCAAATGGCAGAAATTGAACAAAAGGAGTATTGTGTGTGTATATGGCTTGAAGTCTACTTGAATTGAACTCTTTCATCACTCTGAATCTTAAGTAGAGGTTATGCATTGGTGTGAGAGTTACTATATCACAAGATGGCTGAAAACTTAAAATTTGATTAGAATATCTGTTACCTCCTAGCATGCAAATATTGTATCCTGGTTAAAACTGGCATTGTCCTTCTGGGTGTTGCAATTTAATCTTTTTGTCAAGTGTTTGTTTATTTTTGTGTATTACACTTTTCCCAGAGCACAATTAGACAAAAATGCTAGGGAGTAACATTGTAATCCTAAGGGTGTACAGGTACTACTACTTTGATTCTTGAGGGAAGTTTCTATCCAGGTGTAAGTAATCCCAAAAAATCTTTTTATGGGTACTGTGCTCATAATCGTGTAATTCTGTTTGTTCCTCTGGTAGTAAGTTAAACCATGAATTATGCCATGTTATTACTTCAGGTAAATAATGGACAATTCCACCTTGATTGCAAGGAAAGATGAAAGCAAAAAATAGAAGAGAGATATTGTTTGGTTTTAGTGAGAAAAAGAAAGCATACATAAAGAAAATGAATTTAAGGTTCTCATGTGTTTGTTTGCTTCAGTGAAATGAAAAATTTAAATTTTTAATCTATTGGCTTGTACCTTCTTAGTTCTTTA